TTAAGCTTCACTTGGTACTTAGTGGCTGCAGAGTCCAGGATCTCGAAGCAATCCGGTGTGCAGGATGCTCTACAAAACTCTGAACCCTGCAGATGTTTAAAAACGTTCGAAGACCTGTCTGAAAGTAAGTGCTCGCGCGCTCGTGTGGAGAAGTGTCGGCTGGTTTCACCAACATAACAAGCATTACAACTTGCACACGAAAATTTATAGACCACACGCGTGCGTAGCACCTCAGGGACAGCATCTTTCACATTAAAAAGATTCCTGACTTTGAAAGTAGTAAAGACTAACCTTAAATCAATAGGTTTACATAACGTGCTTAATAATGAGTTACTAAATATTGGTGTTTAGAAATCTAAAACTCGATAAATCGGCTTCCAAATGACTCTAGAAGTGAACAGACAGTAAAACGCTCAGCGAAAACAGAGGTTGAGTCATTTTTATTGCAAATTGTAATTTTGATCGTAGTTCGTTGTATTAATTTTTCATAGATTCTTTCGTATAATTCCAATTTCAAGGAACTTCCATACATAGTTTGGGCTGCCTGTGACTCTACTTTAGGGACTGTATTCATTTTACTGAAATGACATTCATTCCTGAACAAGTTCATTCCATCTCCTTATATTTCTTCGCATCTGCTCTTAAGATACTGAGACGCAATTTTGTCCCCGTAGGTTAGTCATTCCGGAATAAGTTTATTAGTCGAGCTTGCTTGAGCAAAGCGAGACTCTTAAAATGCACTAGTTTTTTTTTTTCTCGGTAGGACCTAGTTTGTAGGCCACGCGTTCCTAGCGAAGACCGTGGAAACTGGGGATAAGAATCGTGACGACTTTCATTGTATGGAAATGAGTCTCGTGATGAGCATATGGCTTATTTTGGGGAAGGACTGGAATAACGCGCAATGTTTATCACGTTTAAGTGCTTTTCTTCCATGTAAGAAATCAGACTTTATCTTTTTCGTTAAAACAGGTTACGTTTCATGCTTATATGACATAGTAAGCCGATAAAATCTTAAGTGCAAAATAGGCATAACAAAAAGTAAAACTGTAAATACGTGCTCTCTCTGATCTTATGGTAATTTGGTTCTGACCTTCACGTGCGAAAAAAGTACATACAGCTAAACGTGACAGAGAGAATAATTTTGTAAACACGTGTTCCGGGTCATGGTAGCGCAGAATCTGGGGATGAAAATCGACACGATGCTCTCAATCTCTGTGAACACTTCGAAAAACAACGTACCATTGTCCGAATGATATGTTTTGAGACGAAAAATTTGCAAAGATTAATGAATTATACGGTGATGTCGCTTACTATACAAACCCACACACCATTCGTGGTAGACCCACACTAAAAGATGTCGAACCGAGTTCGGAATGGGTCGTTCCACGAATTCTGTCGTTTGGAAGCGTTGATAACTTTGAAAGAAGTGAATACATCAGATGTTGAAACAAGGAAGAATGTTCATGAGCAGAACTTCGATGATGAGGTAAAAAACTACAAGCAAATCGTCGTTAATTTACCTCTCCTGTTCAACAGCCTGATTCTTTTCCTTTTTTTCATGATGCTGGATACTTGTAACGAACAACTTGATGTTTCGTACATCATAAATATTATTGTACAGGTGATGATAAATGTCGTTTTGTTCTACGCATGGAGTTCTACGTTACAAAATACGGAAAATTGTCTTCAGAACTGTAATGTATTAGAAAAAGGTAACAATTTTGCTCATGTACGTGAATATAATGATATGCCAGTGTCAATAAAGGTTGAAGAAGTCAGATCTCGTTAGTCGAGCTTGTTTAAGCAGAGCGAGACTCTTAAAATGCAGTCGTTTTTTTTTTGTCGGTGGGACCTAGTTTGTAGGCCCCGCGTTCCTAGCGAAGACCGTGGAAACTGGGGATAAGAATCGTGACGACTTTCATTGTATGGAATTGAGTCTCGTGATGAGAATGCGATTTTTTGTCGGCGATGACTGAAATGACGCATGTAAGTTTGGCAATGATGTAATTTTCCTCGAATGGAGGCCCTTGTTTTCGTGTAATTATGCAAGCAGGATGAGAAAATATTATAGCGGGGAAATCCTCAGGATTTTGTGGCTTTTTAAGGCGTTACGTTTCTCAGAATATTGTCCCATTTACAGGAAATATACGGTTAAATAGATTCACTTTGTTTTTTGTGTTTAATTGATAGATTTTCGCAGTTGTTAAGATGTAAAGCCGTGTTGCACTTCATAAACACTTGAGATATCAAGTATCCACTGTCACGTAATTTTTACATGCGCACAAACGTAAAAGTTTCGTGCGCAAATAAAAATAAAGGCAATGTATGACAGGCCGCACGTACAATTATGTAACCGTAAAAGTAGAAACTCGCTTAATTTGACGTTTAATCTCAATACTTTATGTCTTAACTCTATTTGATTTACGTGATTAAAATTTACGTGCGTTAACGTGCGGAGCCAAAAACGCATCAGTGGAAATCCACCCTAACGTGTCACGGGTGTGTTTATACGGGTAGCTTTGAACTAGACTAACCGCACACTCTACTTGCAGCACTTCATGTCCATAGAATAGAAATCCCATAGCGAGCTTTTCCGGAACGGGTTGGTCCAAGAATTCTATGGCTTGAAAGTGTTGATTATT